GACCCGACCGACTCATCATAACCTCTGTCTTCGTCTCTCCCATCTCCGATCTGTAATTACCATGAAATTGTTTTACATGTATAATTTGATAATATGTTTTGATTATCAGTTTCGATTTCTAAGATTAGAAGTTTGGGACTTGTCAAATTTGGGATTATGAATGACGGGTTTTGATTTCTAGGGTTTGAAGGTTGGGAATTTTTGGCGTTGAAGATCCCTCAAAGTATACCTCAAAGTATCATAAATTACCTTTGTGACTGCAGCGGAAACAAACTAAGTGTTTAAACGATTTGAGTCTTTGAGATTGATGACAAATTCTGAATCCAATAACTTCAGTCACTAACCTTGAACTAAAGCTTTACTGATCAGAATCAAAACTGCAAGCCGTATAAAACCTCCACAACACATCAACCTTAAACTGGTTCTTCAAAACAGATCATGAACAAATCTCTTGTTGATTGTTCTTTCTCCAGCCTCTGAATATATGCCCTTTCTAATAGGATTAACATCTTCCCGTGCGAGTCTTAACACCAGAACTCACAACAATGTAGAACCCATAAATCATTGGAGAGATTAACTTACTAAGATTCTTATGATTTCACAAAACAGAAACCATCCAATCCAACTCAAGAATCTTTCTTCAAGAATCTTCATTTCTCCAATTCGAGTGTCTTCGATAATGAACAAACACCATCTTCTTCTTCTCGGACACACACATTCGCCATTAACGACGAACTTCTTCCCTGTGATATCTTATTGTCGATACCACCAAACCCAACAAAACTCCATCGTTGGTTCTTCCTTCACTAGCGACTTCAAAACCCAGATCACCAAATTCTTCAATCAATTGCCCCATGATTCCATGAATCGATCTTGTGTTCTTCTTTTCCAGAATCGAACTTGATTCTTTACCGGCGAGATTGTTTCTTTGTGAATCACCTCCCTTGTCGATTCTATACCATTGAAGCATCACCAAATCAGTGAGTCGAAGAACCGAGGCTCTGATACCACTTGTTGAGAAATCGACTCTCATCAATTCCTTTCTACGACCGATTGCGACGAACTCACTAACTAAGAACACAAAAGAATTTATCCAGTTCACGGTGTTAACGAACCGCTACATCCTGTTAGGATCGAAAGCTCTATCCAGTTAGGATCTTTCGATCCCCAACTGCCATAGTGACATCAGAAATCACTTCCGACGGGTTTACATGAAGATCACTCTCACCACCGATTACAATCCAATCGGTTCTACAAGGAAGAAGAATAGATAACCCAAGAAACCCCAAGAGTTTATCATCCCAATACTCTCTGTCTCTCACTCTCTGTTACTAACATGGATTCACCGTACTCCAAG